GCATGCGCTCACCAGACAGACAGAGACAGAGAGACAGAAAGCAAGAAATAACCCCTCAGGGGGATGGCCATTCCGCAATCCCTTCTCCTCCATTCTCCTCTCAGGATCTTGGGCACGCACGCACACGTGCCCACATGAGTTTTAAGCCACCAGGTCCGGGACAAGAACCACGGTCGACAACATGGGAGTCCAGCGACATAGCCGTTACGCTAACTGCTGGTCCCAAGATTTCAATGTTTTTCTAAGTCTTCCACCCAAAGTAGCCAAATACATGCCAAATCACATATATTTGATCTAAAATTAATGTCATTTCCTGCTTTGTTGCCAAACAAAAAATAGTGTATCTTGTCTTAGTGATTTACAAAGTTCAACCATTTGTCATACACACACGTTCTAAATCTTTATTCACTTATAACCAAAAGTGAATTGACCAATGTTGGAAAAGTCTCACCCAAAAATGTAAGATAGCATATCTGAAGATTGACTAATTTGAGTGCAAACTATTGACTTCCAGTCTCTCAAATTTCTAAAATAATCTTGAGTATGTCCTTTTCTCCTGCTTTTTCTCTAAAAACTACTGTGGACAAGATGAGCACATTTTGTTTTCTCAGGTTCTCCTAAATGAGGTTACCTGCTACAAGCCTAAAAAATACTCGTCCTCTGAAAGAGCAAGACAAGATGAAATGTCTTTCTGTGTCTAACAGAGAATGTAAACACAGATATACTGGAGCATTTATAAAAGCAGAGTAAGTAGGAGGAAGCAGATAGTTTTTATAATCACAGGAACCCTGCATCAAATCTTAAATGAGCCAATTAACCTCTTCAACACCTTAACTTGTTCATTGGTAAAATGAAGAAAATAATACCTATTTCATGCAGTTTTTCTCAGGATTAAATAAAATACAGAATATAAAGTGTCTGCCACAAACCTAACAAATAGCCTGCCCTTAATAAATGATAAATATTTATTACTACAACCTGTAACGTATGTTTTCATTAGATTCTGCTTTCCGGGCTTTTTCCTAGATAATAAAAAGTGAAATGCTTACTAACTCAGTCTCTATAAATTTGTCATCTTATTAAATTAACACAGGACTTGGCCTTTAGGGGGTGTTCAAAATTACTGATAAAAGCAGGCTTGGTTATCGCTGTAATCTCTTATAATCAAGGTATATTATGCATCACAAAATAAACATTTTTTTGAAAAGAGGTACATGAGCAAATTGCTCTAAACAGAATCATATTTCCTGGGTGATTTGCATTATTATTCCAGAGATACTCAACCTGTACTTCTAATTTGCAATCAGCAAAACCCTGAGCATGTGAACTTCGAAGTTCTGCTCCTACCACTGGTACTCTCAATTCCCCACACTTCGATCCCTGTCATCCACACTCACACACCCAGTCAGTACCTGAATGCTTTAAATGGTACATAGCATAATGGATGTTTTTGCTAAGCAAAATTCACACTGGGCTTTAACAATGTTGGCAAAGTTGTATTGTCATATGTTATAATTACAGTTTTTAACATCCTGCCTTGTTAATACAATTAAAGATTTTGGCTGTGCATGTCTTTTTCTTTTTGATATTCTTCATCAAACTAGAAATGGAAAAGCTGGTGCACTCTACCAAAAATCCGGAAAGAAAGTTAAGAAAGAGCTCTACGGCCAGCAGGTGGCATAGTGATTAAGGCACTGGACTCTCACATGGCTAACTTCATAGTTTGAGTCCCATGCCAGGCATGTGTGCATGGATGACCAAAATCTCGAGAGAAGAATGGAGGAGAAGGGATTGTGGTGTGGCCATCTCTTCTGAGGGGTGATTTCTTGCTGTCTCTCTGTCTCTCTCCAGCGAACACACATACCCATAGCAAAAATCTCTCCAGAAAAAGAAAAAAGTGGCAGCTCTAGAAGGGTCCAGACAGAGCCACGGCAGTAATATAATACTCTGCAAGGCTGACCCACATGGGAAGATTTTGGATTCACATGTAGAAACCTGAGTATGCTGGGACCAGCAGTTAGTGTAATGGCTATGTCGCTGGACTCCCACGTAGCCGCCCACGATTCGCGTCCCGGACCCACTGGCTTAAACTCACGCCGGGCACGTGTCGGTGCGTGCCCAAGATCCCGAGAGGAGAATGGAGAAGGGATTGCGGCGTGGCCATGCCCCCGGGGGGTGATTTCTCACTTTCTATTTCTCTGTCTCTCTCTGTCTGTCTGGCGAGCGCACGTGCCCTATAGCAAAAACCTCTCCAAAAAAAAAAAAAAACCTGATTATGCTAACCTGAGTGTGCTGGGCACACATGCACCTGTGATCAGAGCTGGTGGAAGCTGAGGGAAGACCACAGTGTGTGAATATTACTGGGTTTGCCCTCCCTCCACCTCTCTCTTTCTCATTGAAGAAAGAAACTTAAAAAAAAAAAAAAAAAAGGCAAGAGCTCTGGAGAGGCACGCATTCCCACAATTAACAGTAAGGTAAAGGCTGTCTGGATTGTGCTCCTGCTCACCCTACACAGAGACCCTTACAGAGGGAGGATTATACATGCCCTGCCAAACTGAACTCATGTGATCAGAAGTGACAAGTGTCACTTCCAAGCAAGAGCACTGTGAGCATGTGGTTCTCCTAGTTCTTTCCTCCTCCTTCACAGAAACTGGTGAAATTCTAGGCAAAGCCTACTCAATCAGCCAGAGAACAAGTGTCAAAATGACACCGAACAGCACCCTAGCTGGCCCACAGGAGACAAAGCAAGAAACAAACTTTTATGTAGTAACTGACCAGAATAG